TCCGTTTCTCGCGTTACAGTTGTGTTCGAAAGTTCTCGCACGTTTAATTTTACATTGTAGCTACAGGTTTACGCAAAATTATTTTGTTGCGCACGAATTCATGAAAGAGAATTTTGGCTCCTCGATAAACAGTACTTGTTATGTCTTCTACTAATCAACTCTAATTCATGATTATCAAGTTTATTTAACTGATCTAAATACATATAAGACAAAGATAACGTCGTCCCCAAGTGACGTCGTCGACGTCAAGTAAAGCTATATGATTTAACAAGTAAAGCTAGCATTAATTTGTTAATATCACAGTACTGTACAGTTAAGATCACACTACAATAAAAGGTTACTCTACACAAAGTGCACTTCTAGTGCACTTTAATGTGCACATCAAGTCCACCTCTAGGCCTAATCAGACTAGTTTGTACACTATCTAGACCCTTTGCCTTTGAACACTGTACAGTGCTTCAGTTTGTATAGCAGTAACATTTTCAACAAATATCTTTAATTTATGTCTCAGAAAACAGAAAAATGTAGGGAATTTTTTTTTTCAGATTTTCTTACAATTACCTATTTTTTTATTGATATCAGTGGGTCTTTTTTTCTATTTGATATGAATATTATATGGTGCTCCTTTTTTAAGGAATGTTTACAATGTATTAGCATCAGGATCTGTAAGCAAAATTTAATGATATTGCTTAATCTAATGTTAAAGATATAATAATAATAAATAATAATAATAATAATTGTGATGATGATTATTATTTTTATTATTATTATTATTATTATACAATTAGTTTGCGCTGTTAGTTTCTTTCAATTAATTTGAATCATCTGGGAAGACTTAGAAGGGAAATAATTTTGATTTCAATTTTTCTTTATTTTTGAAACATACAATATCATTATTAAATTGCTTGTTAATTAAATAAACGGTTCATATGGCATCCAACAGAGACGTAGCTAGCTTATAAGTCAACTAAATTTAGAAAATTTAGGAAACATTGGTTTAATTTGGTGCAATTTGGAGGGTTTGAGATGCTTTATTTGAGGGTTCATGGTGCGCTTTTCATTGACCTGGAAATCCAAAGTTGAAGCAGCCTGAAACAAAACACACAATTTAATGAGCAAAGCTGTATTATTCAACAAATAAACAATTTAAACAACATAATATTCTCCTGAAACAGCATTGCCTATGAATCAACTCCAACTCTAACACAAGTCAAAATATGCCTCAATGGCCCAATGATAAGATAACTACAGCTGTACCATTACGTCATTATTACGTCATTTAAATCTATACTTTATATTTCGCGAAGTTGGCGACGAGGACCGTGATTTCCATGATTTATTATTTTAAAACCGTTACGCGCTTCCGTAGTTTTTTTTTCAAAACAGCGTGAAAGTCGATCGGCTTAAATTTATTTCGTTTTTAATGCTTGGTTTACCTTGTTAAATAATAATGAATAATTTAACAGTTCTTACTTTAAAATAAAATAAGGAACCTTTTTGTGTTGTTTTGTTGTTGTTCTTTTAGTTTATATTCAACCCATTTTCCCGCGAAAGCAGATCATGCTTCTGAAACCTTTGCTTGTCTTACTCTCAACTCAAATACATCAATCACACAACAACAACAAAAATGCGTGCACGTTGATATTTTGTGAGACATGTGAAGTAAATCAGTAAAAAATAAGATTTACCTCTCTGACTTTGACGATGCGATGGATACCGTGTCTCCCTGTATCAGGTTGTTATAGGACAAGCATTTTTTTCCATAATAAATCTTACATCAAACATTGACAATAAACATTTTTTGTTAATAATGGAACCATTAATATATTGAAAAACACTTCATTTTCGAAATTTATTACATTATTTATTAATAACAGGGTTAAGTTCAATTAGAAACTCAAACCTAAAATTCTTTGAGAGGTTGACATACTTTTTAAGATCGATTTTTCTCACAGATGTGCATATTTTCTAAACATATATTACATGAAAAAAGAATTACGAATTCCGGACTGAAAGATTGGGGCATGCGCAATTGCGTTTCATTTTTATCTTTAAAGCTTTCCTTACTGATCATTAAACTATGTTTATAATTCTTCATCTAGAAACAATATGTTATATCGACACGAAATTGTTTACGTGCTACTACTATTACTATAACAGCAATATTTTGTATCTGTTAAAAAAAAAATAACAACCAATAATTTATATTTTGTTTTTGAAGTAGGTGTTAGTCAATGCACGAATTTTCGTCAACTACGTTAACGAAAAAAGCCTAATAAACGAAGTGTGCCCATTTACCCAAGAAATGTTTTATTTCTATTTCTCTGAAAAAAATTTGTTGTATCAAAAAGCTACTCATTGTTCAATTACCTGAACCATCTTTTTCTTCTGTTACTTTGTACTTGACAATTATTATAGTGATTTAGTATTAGTCAAAATAGTACTTTGTGGACATTGTTCTACTTTTATGACAAATGTTTACACATTAAGCGCTTCTTTCTAGAGGTGACAAGCATCTCACACGCTCTATAGTCAAAATTTAAACGAAATAAAATTTATTTTTGCACTTTCTAAAGAAGTAAATAAATATCGTTTCCGATTTTTATGGTTTTCAGGAAATGTAACAATTCGTTTTTATTGTTGGGGGAGGGGTATCTGAGATTTTTTCTTTGGTCATTATATTACAAATTTATGAAATCTGGAAATCTCATTGGTCATTTTAATTTAATGGAACATTCTGAAACGTACATACAAATCTAAATTTTTGATTAACATAAGGAGCTTTCTAAATACTTGTCAATGAGTTCTGTCATCTCAAAAAATATTTTACACCGTTTTAATTATTTTATGAAGTTGCGTCTTGAGGGAGAAGCGAGACAAAGTATGTAAATGCAACAGGAAAGATATATTTGGTTGGTTTTCTCCCTTGTCATGGTTCATTATCAGATGGCCGAATATAGTTATGTCTATCTCATATGGCGTATTTAAAGATATCTTTCTATTTATACGAATTATTTTACTGAGATATTTGATTAAAAGTATAGCTTACTTTGCCATTTTAGGCCGGCTGTATAGGTTAAGTAGAATTGTCCAATGTCGTAAGCGACACGAAACCAAACATAAATCGAAAATAGGACCAAATCAGTAGCTAGGCTTGTCCTGTAACCGATGCATACCGAAAGTATTTTTGTTAACAGACCTTTTTACATTACGACATTTCCATAGAAACGAAAGTAGCATTTCGCGCATTCACATTCTGCGTAGGGCAAAAAAGCAATAATTAAAGAATAAATTTTATCAGAATTTAACAACTCCATTAACAATTTGATATACATGTTTTTTTGAAGAATGTAAAAGGACTTTTGTGACGTGAATAGGACTAAAACTGTTACTGACACATTTCAGAAAGGAATAAAACACACAGGTAAAACTCAAAACGATGTTAGAGGTACTTAATAATGTAAAAGGAATTATTTATAAAAATACAGACATTAAGTGATGGATAGCAAGAGCAAAGCTCGTTTCAAATAGTATCAACCTTTGTTATGAAAAGATGATAATTATTAGAAATATTCTATAATTTTTTTACCATCTATTGATTTTTGATTTAGCTGAAAACAGTGTTTTAAAATATGTTTTTCTTACTTGTAAATTGCTTGCGCAATGGACATAGAATAAAGAAAACTAACAACAACCAAAGAAGACAAAAAAACAACAACAAAAAAACATTGTGCTAATAAAGTCCGGTAGACAAATGTCCGGTGATCACAAATTCATTCTAACGTTGCATCAACATTGTCATCGGATTTCTTTTGTATAGCTACCATAAATTCTGTAACAGTAAAGTAGAAGGGACGAAACACAGAGGCAAGTATCAATAAACGTTAGTCATATTCCGAACAGTTCGTTGGTAAAGTCATTTGGACTTGAGTGGAGATGGGGTGAAGGACAAGACAACAAACTACAAGAATAATAGCTCTCTAGGACGATATTCCACAAGAACAAGATCTCTTTGGACAATATTGACCTTGTCTTTCAGATCTGGTGCAAGCCGACATCCTATATGTATACCTTTTACACATTATGCATGCAAGGGGTGTAGATCTGGATCAGAAGGTATCCCTTTGTAAACCCCTGTTTCTCATTACCTTAATGTACAACTAGTTTATAAACCAAATAAATGCAGACGCTCAGAGTTTGCAAATGACACACAGTTGATGGTGCAGTTGAAAATCATACTGGATAAAAATATGATCACATCACATGACATTCTGCTAGATATAGAGAGACAGGATGGGAACATTAAGGTAGATATGTTCGGAGTACATAAGTTGGAGTGATGGTTGAAATGCTAATTCGGGACAATGCAGATGAGTCAGTACATTATATAATTAGTAGAATGAAACTGAAGGCCATTTCGGATTGGTTAGAATATTGTTTCAAGTTTGGCTGATAATAAGTGTCAAATATAACACAAACATAATTATGTTTGAACTTAAAAATATATTAAGAGAGATATAGTTAGTAAAATGAATATCTGTTTTAGCTTATACATATGTATACATAACTTCTGTTTTATAAGAAATAAATATTGTTTGTGTATGTATCTTTTTTATTTCTCACTCTCTCTCTCTCCTTTTTCTTTACTTCTTCCTTTTCTCCTCATCTTCTTCATTTTCTTATCTTTCTAATCCTTCTCATCCCCTTTCTTATCCTCCCTCTTTTCTTTCTTCTTTTTTTCTCCTTCTTTCTCAATAATGTGATTTATGATCTGTAAATTTGCTGTTAAAATTGAGAAGAAACAAAATTTCAAGAAGATCCAGATTACCGTCAATTCGCAAGTACATGTACATTTAATAAGAAAAGTAAGGCGTTGAAGGAATCTTTATATAAAATAAAGTTTTTATTTTAAGAGAAAACATTCTGGTTTTATTTAAATTGAAACAACACTTTTCCTTGTAGGACCAGATGGTTTTCTTCAAAAGTTTTGTTTCAGTTAAATGATAGCCTAATTTCTTTAACTATTTCATTGTTTGTTTTCTTATCTGGTATACGTATATACACGTTAAAGATAAAAGGTTAGATACAAATATGTCACACTTCAAGATATATTTTGTATGTGTAATTGCCTCCTGTCTCATCCTAGGTAAGTCAAATATTTTTTTCTATTTATTTTCCGGTATAAAACATGTAAACTGTGGCGCAAAACCTATGTACGATTTGTTTGTAGCCTATTTTCGGTTTAATATCAGCTTAAATACGGTCTGCTATTAGCCTCTGCACTGCCTGATATTGGCATTTCTACGTGTGCGATTTGTTCTTTCTGATATTGGCATTTGCTCGGTCTGATATTGGCATTTGTTCGGTCTGATATTGGTACTTGTACATGTCTGATATTGGCATTTGTTCGGTCTGATATTGGCATTTGTTCGGTCTGATATTGGCATTTGTACGGTATATCAATGTCATCAGTGTTTGTACGGTCCGATGGGTCGATGTTAGCCTGGGTATGGTTTGATAGTACTGTTATGTGATATTATAATCGTTCTAATAATTGTTTTATCTAGGCAAAGTGAATGGATCATGCTGTCCAGATGGGTGGACGACTTTTAATGGCTCGTGTTATTTCTTCGGCCACCATGACCTAGATTTCCAGGAAGCTGAGGTAAGATTAAATGCGCAGATGATTTGTTGGACTGCTTGATTATCAGAGATGAACATGCGCATGTTGGTCTTGTCTTTTTTTTATGAGACGGCCTGTTTAAAAAAAATACCTCTTAAAATCGGAAAACATTTTATTTTCCACAATGACAGATTAACCTTTTCCCTTATATAAGCGTGTTTCGACGGCTTTTTGCCCCCCCCCCCCCCTTTTTTGAGGCCTCAAACAGTGAAAAAATGCCCTATTTAGGCCCCAAACACTGTCTTTCGTTTGAGAAATGTTGTTAAAAAAAGTGACCATTTTTTCGGCGCCGCCCCCATCCAAATATTACATCAGGGGGTTGCCAGAAGGGGGATGTGCCCCCTTCTGTTTGGGGGGTTTGAAGGGGGGCGGAGTCCCCCTCATCGCCAAGAAAATTTTGGACTTGTGAGAGGCTTAAAATGACCCCAGGTCGATCATAAGGTAACGTGTAACCAACGCTGAAAAGCCTTTGACTCTATCTCAATCCCTTTAGAAGTTGCAGCACTTTGAAATAAATTTTGATGGAAAAAATCGAGGCAAAATAGTGATTTTTGGCAATTTTGAGATGTCCCCTCGTTGCCATGGTAACAGGAAATTTAAGACTGAGCATGTCGTTACAAAGGCAATGGTCCAGTCAACATTTGTGCCAAGTTTGATTAGTATTGAAGCATTTTTCATAGTTTCATAGCAGTTTGAACTTGTAACAGGAGGCTTTTCAGTGAAAATGGCCATTTTTCACAATATGCTCATGGGGGAAAGGGTTAATTATAGCACTAATTCATATTATGTATTTGCAGTTAAATTAGATTCACTATCGTTATTCTAAATAATATGCATTTTGCTGTGGATTAAATTTGTACAGCAATTTTGAAAGGTTTCAAAATAGCACAAGTATGAGTTCAACCATCCATCCAACCAACCAACCAAAAAAAAAAAAAAAAAAAAAAAAAAACAAGAAAAAAACAACACATTCAACCTCTACATTAGTGTATAGTTTTTAAAGATAATTTGTAATATCTAAACAACGTACACGTAATGGCATTTGCTATTACATTGTATTTCAAATTTAAGATTACACTGTCGATTTTCATCTCTTTAACTTCAGAATATAACACTTGACTTTCCTTTGGTTTGAACTCCTAGTCACTTCTTAAATTTACGCTGCGTGCTTCTTTGGCCTGGGACAAAAGATAATATAGAAAACATTATGTTTTACATCGTCACCTTAGTGCATTAACGGTTTAAGTCCTCCTAAATTGAAAAGGAGATAACCAGTCATTGCACTAAGGTGAAAGCATGATCATGTTTTATTTTGAAACCTTCAGAGATTCTGCACCCACTATGACGCCAATTTAGTTGTTATTGAGACGTCATCCGAAAACACTTTCATTAAAAGTCATCTTCAAACTTTAAAAGGTAAAAGTATATTTACTAAATATTATCACGGCTTTAATAACGTAAATATCAATTTAACGACGTAACGTCTATAGATTCTTCGTGTTTTTTTACAATAGACGAAGAAGAAGAAGCTAGGGAACATATTTTTTCTTCTAAATTTTGCATGATCAAAGAATAGCTTCATTAAAACAAATTTAAGGAAAAAAAACAGATTCAGAGTCTATAGTTTTTTTAGGTTATCTGTCCCAGAAAGTCAGGTTTTTTACTCTTTCAGGTCATTTTCGTGAGCAGATAACTCAAAACCAACCATACCAACATTTTATTTTATATTATTCTTTTTAACTTATGTTAAATCATTATGAAAAGTTAAAAACAACTAGAACTGCCACTATCATGGCGTGAATACCCCCGCATACCACTTTGTCAGAATCAACTGTGGCCATTTAGAGCTCAAGGACAACCTCCCTGCCAAATCTGAGGTTACTAAGCCAGTGCATTGCTAAGTTATGTATTCTACATGCTTCAAATGTGAAAATGTCAAAATCAATACATTGCGGACAGGACATACTTTAGCAATTGAGAAGAAAAGCTTCAATAGGGGTCACCTTATAGTCATGACCAACATCCATGCCAAATATGAAGACTGTGGGTCAAAGGAATCTAAAGTTATTGGGCAGACAAACTTTTTGAAGTCAAAGTCCCTGTGACCTTGACCTTTGACCTGGTGACCTCAAAATAAATAGGGGTCATCTACTAATCATGACTAACCTCCATTCCAAATATGAAGACTGTGGGTCAAAGGAATCTTAAGTTATTGGGCGGACAAGCTTTTTGAAATCAAGGCCCCTGTGACCTTGACCTTTGACCTGATGACCTCAAAATCAATAGGGGTCATCTACTAATCATGACTAACCTCCATGCCAAATATAAAGACTGTGGGTCAAAGGAATCTTAAGTTATTGGGCGGACAAGCTTTTTGAAGTCAATGCCCCTGTGACCTTGACCTTTGACCTGGTGACCTCAAAATCACTAGGGGTCATCTACTACTCATGACTTACCTCCATGCCAAATATGAAGACTGTAGGTCAAAGGAATCTTAAGTTATTGGGCGGACAAGCTTTTTGAAGTCAAGGCCCCTGTGACCTTGACCTTTGACCTAGTGACCTCAAAATCAATAGGGGTCATCTACTAATCATGACTAACCTCCATGCCAAATATGAAGACTAAGGGTCAAAGGAATCTTAAGTTATTGGGCGGACAAGCTTTTTGAAGTCAAGGCCCCTGTGACCTTGACCTTTGACATAGTGACCTCAAAATCAATAGGGGTCATCTACTAATCATGACTAACCTCCATGCCAAATATGAAGACTGTGGGTCAAAGGAATCTTAAGTTATTGGGCGGACAAGCTTTTTGAAGTCAAGGCCCCTGTGACCTTGACCTTTGACCTAGTAACCTCAAAATCAATAGGGGTCATCTACTAATCATGACTAACCTCCATGCCAAATATGAAGACTAAGGGTCAAAGGAATCTTAAGTTATTGGGCGGACAAGAAAAAACCGACGGACAGCCGGACGGACGGCCGGACGGACGGACGGACGGACAAGCTGATTCCAGTATACCCCCCTTACAGCTTTGTTGTGCGGGGTATAATTATATGCCACATTCACTTTTGCTTTGCATCAATGAATAAGCCTTCTGCCATTTCCTCACAAAAGGGGCGTAACTTGCAGAGAAGTCAACAACTATAGAATAAAATCAGTTACATATAACTTTGGCAAATTTTGCACAATGTCAGGGATTAAAAATTATAAACACAAATTTTCAATCAAATTAGGTGTTGCTGCTTCAGTTTCGAGGTATCTTCTCATAAAAATTGCTTAAAACAAGGAAAAACAAGGGAGAGATAACTCAAAAACTTTGACCCGGAGCTAACCCCAATCTTTTTATGTATTTGTTTGAATTATGATAAACAATGTCAGGGATTAAAAAATAAAAACTCAAATCTTAAATAAAATTAGGGGTTGCGGTTTCAGTTTCGAGTTACCTTCTCATAAAAAATTGCTTAAAACAAGGGAAAATGGAAGAGATAACTCAAAAACTTTGACCGTGAGCCCCAATCTTTTCATACATTTGTTTCGATTATGGTAATCTTTAACCTTGCAAAGCTTCGAAAAATTATGTTTCCTAGTTTCGTTTCTACTTCAGGAAAAAAACCTATACGAACCGCCTTTGATTAATTAAAGTATTGGCCAATTATTGCTTTATAATGAATTCCCATCTACAAGAACAGACAGTGTACGTGTTGATTCATCTTACTAATTGAATAAGTATTCATTTACATGTACTAGTATGTTATTGGCATCGAATTGAATGTCCTTATTTTGATATTGACTTTAATTCTTATGCATTCGTTGAATCCCGCCCTTCCTTGTTGAACTTTTGTTTTCATATTTTATCATTAAAACACGAATATGCAGATGCTCGACACTGGATTGGCCTGACCGATGAGATTATAGAAGGAGCGTGGACATGGTACAAAAGCTCTAGCATTGCAAGCTTTACAGACTGGGGAGCAGGTCAACCCAACGAGGGTAGCGTCGGAAACTGTGCTGCCATATGGGCCGGCTTCAAGTACCAATGGGTCGATGAAGCATGCACACATCTTTTTAAACCGCTATGTGAGAGAAGGTTAACAACATTTTTTTTACTCTTGAGCATTTATATACATGTATAAGACTATTTTTTTCCAAATTTATATATTTTAAAACATACTTGTATATACAAATCAAGCAAAAACTCACTTTCAGGGGCAGATAACTCAAAAGCTAGGATTGTGACAAGGAATGAAAAAGTAAGGACCGTGAATAGAGAAAAGAATTAGTTATACAATTACGCCATTTTGAAAGGTTTCAATATAGCACAAGTATGAGTTATCTGCCCCTGAAACTGAGTATTTTTATTTGATTAACTAATATGACTTTGATTGCTTCAAGTAAAAACAATAGTTTGGACTTTTTTAGCGTTATTCTAAATAAGAATATTTGTGTTACTAACATTAATATAAAATTATTCAAAGAATTACGCTAGTTTCAACTGTTCCAGACAGAAATAATTGTTGAAAGTACACCGTTTTTCTTCAAGGTTCAACAAATGATTCAAATAAGCAATTTTGTGACATTGAAATCGCTTTATTAAGCAACTATCATTAGTAAATGGGTCAAGTTATGTGCCGATTAAAGTCGGCGGCGTCTTCGATGTTCAGCAGTGGCACGTATACGGGGGATACTAATCGACGGTCTCCGGTCTCCGGTCTTCGACGGTCCCCGGTCTCCAAAGACCGTCGAAGGCCGTCAATTGTAGGAGACCGTCGATTAGTCGGTTATAACACAAATCGACGGTCTCCAGATTATATACGAAATTAGACAGAATGACCAATAGGCAATAACACTTTTCAGTGATTTATGTCAATAGTTTAGAGTGATTAACGGATATTTTTGATGAAAAAATAGAGTAATAATAAAAAAAATTGAAATTTTCAATGGTTATTAATATATTTATAGAATTTAGATGTTGTGTTTGTTCAGTTGTAATTCAACAATGATCAGTTAATTGTCTTAATGAAATAAATACATTTTTGACTTAAGATATGTAAAAATATTCACAACAAAAGACCGTCAACGGTAGAACCGTCCATTATTAGGTTATTATACGAGATTTATTACATAATTGGAATTGCGAAATAGGTAAAATGTGGTCAATAAGCATTTTTTCTAAAAATAAAATAATCTTTAACATAAAAATGTTTTTTGTTTTTCTCCGTGGAAATATAATTTGTTGAGAGCGTTCAGTTATTACATTTCGTCAATTATGAAATCAATTTATGGAATAATGAAAAAAGAGAGAATATTTTATAATAAATTTGGCAACTTTGCACCAGAAAAAGTAGACAAGTTACAAAAAAAATATTTCAGAAATTTATGAGAATCGATTTCTTAATAGCACAATTTTGGTTTTAAAAATCTGTCTGGAATAAAATTTTAAAACTAAAATAGCTGTTAATAAAATGGCCTACTTTTTAATGAATGCAAAAAAAACGAGTTTAAAATAATAAAACCTGTTAAATTAACAAATAAAAAAGGCAAAAATAATGGTTTTGGTAATATACAAAATGCAAATATAAACAACAACAAAAATGCACTTAAATGCAATGTAAAATAAAACCAGCTAATGTGAAGAAAATAAACATTACGCCGCCTGTCAATCAAGCTGTCAGGGGTCACAGAAATAATTAAGCTAATCAGCGATCGTTATCAGTTTCACGCCAAGATGCCTGCGAAGTCCACCATTTTCCTTTCTAAGACAATGGTGCATGAATTGAAAGTATTTTAATTTGCTGTCAATCTAAAGCTATAAATCGGTATATTTATTCAGGTATCAAATATAATGATAGATAGAGTAAGTTAGTTTATAAACAAAAGTCAATAATTATCTACAAATGGAAATAATAAGTTCTGTTGCAGGTACGAAACATTTATCCTGGCTATAACACAATGCTTTGAAAAGGGAAAAAGGTTAAAACAAATCCACTTATTTTCATTACCGGTCTATCTGTTCATAATCACATTAAATATTATAAGGTCCCAGAATATCCAGAACATATGACATTTTTTCGTTTATAATTTTTAGCGTCAATAAAAACGCAGCCGTAAAAAATGTAAATTTAATGAGTAAATAAATAAACAAATGGGTGAAACTATCATGCCTGAATATTTCTATAAAAGTTCAAATAAAAATTAAGAATAAATATTCAAATAGATCTGCTTACTACGAAACTAATACCAATAACATCATGTCTGATGTATGTGAAGGTTATTTTAAAAAGAATAACGTTAAGTTTTGTCGTGAATCATATCAAATACACGTATGTAAACAATACATAATGACATATAATGCAACGTTGTGCAATGGCATGCAATTTTCTCAATCAGTCTTAACAATTCATGAACAAATTTATATATTATAAAAAATGAATTACCACTTGCCTCTCACCGCTGTGGGTTCGAATCCCGACAGGGACTTCGGATTCTTTCACGTGAGGAAGCTATACAGCTAGATTAAGGAACCGAATCAAACAAACAAACAAAAAATCTGAATTTCGCACATAAAACCCGAAGAATGATTTAAGATTTCATTGTCACTAACATAATTTTCTGTTTTTGTTTCGCTACTCAATTTCAAAATCTAAGGATCCTTACATAATCATATAATTTTCTACATATAATCTCTATTTGAATTTTTAGATATGATGATATTTTGTCAGTTTATGTATAGGTTAAAGTTTATAAGTACGTATTTACAAAATTGAATGTTCAGGAGCGACATAGCCGCGCGACCAATTTAATTTTGTAAACACGTACTTATGAATTTTAACCGGCTGAGTGTTTTAGATAATTTTTATGAACAGTCGATTTACTAGACTGATTAACAGTTGGCCGATTTACCAAAGTAAATGTGTTATGATTCCTTTTAAAATACTATCGGACAAAAAATAATTTCAAACACTGAGATGTTCATCGAAGTCAACAAAAAAATACCATAATACACCTATACATTGAATAATACTATTCAGTAAATCCATTAAAAGCATCAAAAGTTTATTTATACAAAATATATAAGTAACATTAGTGGCATAACATCGAAACATTGGAACCGTATTTTGTCTAATGTTCTAACTGACCAAGTCACGTAAATCAGTGGATCAAAGGATCGATCCTTTCTCTGGCAAAGTACATAAGTGAAAATACAACATGAACATTGTAGACATTTATGCAATCAATTATGGAATAATGTTAATAGCAAAGAATTATGTATACAGATCAAATATTGCATGGAAAAATATCAATACTACATGTATTTCCTGAAAGGTCTTATGTTTATTAGACAATTTGCACAAAAAAGTATTTTATAAATAACACATGATCCATATGTTGTCTCTCCGGATTAGTTAAATACTTCAAAAGATTAGTTATTTAAGAATTGTAATAAACATATACATGAATATCACATTTTTACAATATTACATATAAAAATAATAAAGAAGAAGAAGAACATTTTGATTTTCGTAATATACATATACACAAATATACAGTACATATTCAATTTAATGTTTATTTGGTTTAATGATATAATTGTTGAATGTTATAAATGAAGATGAAAGTAATCATTCTTGTGACACATTTGATTCAAATGTAATTTGATTATCAATGCTGAAAATAAACAAGCTTAAAAGCCCATTATGCACCAGAAATGTTTTCATTTATATTTTCCAGAATCATGACATTTTTGCCGTACTTTTATAGTTTCCAATATGTTACTCTTTCGCCAATTACCTGACCTGTCGTCTTCATCGGCTCCTTTTTGGCAGTAAGTGAATTTATATAGTGTCGTAATTAGTATTTCGTATTTTGTATGGAATTCAAAATATAACTTTTTTACATTTTGCTACTTTTATAACATTTTACATTTAGCGCTATTTTCTTCAGATTACAAACATTGTGCATGCTCTAGAACTACTATTTAAACGATAAACTAATGTTTGACCTTTCTAAAGAAGTATTTTTTTTTTCATTTCTGAAGTATAGTGTGCAAAAGCTAACACGGTTTTGTGCCATACCAGCGTGCCTGCCAATCGCCATGCATATGTTTGTCGGGCAGTTGGTAACATATGTTACCTCTGCTATTTCCTCAATCATATACATAGCATGAATATTTCAAACATTAGTCCTCAAAGTGGCAATACGAATTTCAGCTGAATTGTGAATATTTATATATTTTTTAAAGTAAACATTCAACGTTACTTATTTCATGTGACATAAACTAAAGCCATAAATTAAACTCTGCCCTTTCTAAGCCAGGAAAAAATTTAATGATCGTTAAATGTAAATATTAATTTAAGCAGGACTATAATATTGCTATATTACTAAAAAGCTTTCAAATGACCAATAAAATGTTACGGGTAATATAATTTGGTAACGCACACATGCTAATTGATTGGCTAATTCTCGATAATTAACTAATACTCCGCCCACAGAGATTGCGACAATTAGTGTAATAAATAGATGGCTACAATATATTCAAGTTACAAATCTCTTATCAGTTTTCGATTATTTGCCCTTATTACAAATTAACAATCCGCTCCAACAGATTGATTCAAACAGGGTCTTTCAAATAGAATTCTATTTGAAAGACCCTGATTCAAACGATTATTTTTTACCACTTTTAAATAAATACAATCTGCTTTCCACCTCGAATACATAAACACTAAAACAAAAATACATATAATTAATTAGACTATTTATGATCAAGATGATACCCATACTAAATATCTATGTTGCTTTCCTTTCACGTGTTATTGCCTGAAACATGTTAACTGTATATTATGTAATCTATGACAATTTAAAATAAAGTGGTTTGTATTTGGGTTGTATTGGACATGGATTTTGTGTATTATATTTGTACATGCGAGGAGGAGACTTCATTAAATTATATAAAGGGTAACGACCTTAATTTCTGTAATAAAACCTTGTTAATTTTTGGTTGATTTGAAAAAGAAAAGAAGTTGTCTTAAAGTGTGAAACAATGTTTAATAAATCTGTCTTCTCAAAAGACAGAATTGGTTCTTATCAGTT